CCCTTTAAAATCCCACCTTCAAGTTCAGGCACTTTATGATTTTACAGTCACTTCTCAGGGTGCCGGGTGAAGGGAAGTGGGCGTTGTGGAAAAGCAGAGGGAAAGAGAAGGGGGATGGATGCAGGTGGCTGTCAGGGACACCGGGTCGTATGCCATAGCTGCCCGGGACCTGGGCACAGCTGGCGTCAGCCTTGGTCTGCAGCCACCCAGACCTGGCCGGAGACGCTGGCGAGGCAGGTTCAGCATTCACGCATAGACAGCATGGTTAGATCTGTGGCTGGGTATCTGCCAGGGCAAAGACCGCGTCAGTGAAAGCTGACTTCCACTGCACCTCAGAGATCTGTAACAAAGTGATCTGGCAAAGCAACATAAAAGCGAATACCTGTGGCAGAGGAGTTTTGAACCACTACTGCCGACAGCAACCCAGGAAAAGCTAGAGAAATAGTCCAAGTCCGGTGGCATGAAGTGCAGCGTTTACTGGAAGCCGTGGGGCAGGGCCTTCCTTTCTTGCTTTTATCATCCCCTATGCACAAGTATGAGCCTCTGCTGCTTCAGAGCTTAGGTCACATGTTAACTGTCATCAGTAAAGTTACCTTTGCAAACACTCATTTTGAAGGGCTACTGTCAACAAGGAAGGTAAGGAAGTGTTTCAGCGTCTGCAGCACAGGGATTTCCCCTGGTACAGGAGCACAGGTCAAAGAGCTGTAGTGGCAGCGAGCTCCTGGGCGGCAGAGCTAAGCAGGTGCAGGTGCAGATGCACTGGCTCTGCCTGCGCTCTGGCAGAGCTGCCCCGAGGCAGCCCTGTTCTGGGAGCCCAGAGGCAGAATAGTGGGGATCAGGCGGGTGGCAGTAAGCCCTGCTGCACAGCAGAGCCGGGACCTGCCTGGGAGTGTGGATGCGATATACATTGCTTCCCCAACCCCAGTTCTCACCTATTTCAGAGAGAACTCACTGGAGTTCACATTCAAAATCTCTTCACGGTGTGGTTACAATGCTAATGAATGCAGTTTGCTTTGGGGCTTGGCAAGTTAAAATCGGGTGTTAAGGTAAAAACTACTCAAATTCTGATCTGATTTACTATGTAACAGGTAGTAAACTATTTAAAGTGATTCAGGGGGTTATATCCATGCCCCTGCACAAAGCACCAGAGCATAGTTAAATACAAAGAAGGATTTTCATCTGCTGACAGAAGTGTGTATTATCTATTCCTGTACAGGAGCAGCAAACAACTGGCAGAAATGTCAGTCTAGCTCAGTATCTTGGAACTATTCAGAATATAAATTAAAATTAAAAAATACTTTCTCTTATCACACTGCTCCCAGAGAATAAATTTCATTTCTATTCTTATTTTCCACTTGTTTCCAAATTTCAGTACCCCTTAGAAAGACTGTAGCACTCCCACATACTTTCTATTTAAAAAAAAAAGAAGTTTTTTTTTTATTAGCATGTTGTTCCACTACTTATAAATCAGCAAACCTGGGCAGTGTTTGACATACTAATTTGATTCAACCAGAACATGAAAGTAGTTTGTTGAATGAGATCTCAGTTTTGCAAGGAACTCCATGCTGTACTAAAGTAGAAGCAGTTGCAGGGATAGCCATGCAAAGTAGCAATGGCCTACGTAGTTGGAAAACATCTAACTTTACCGTGTAAAACAAGCGGCAAAACCACATACCACTCAGAGACACACTCTAAAGGAATAGGCCATCTTAAGAGAGTGAACTGTTATCTAAATATTTTGTAATTATCTGATATGACTACAGAGCAGGCAGTTTTCTGGAAATTTCGAAGACATACCTTTGAAAACAGGACTCCTACATTATTGCGCTAACCCTTCTTCCTTATTGCCCAAACAACTAATGCACGCATTTAAATGTATACGTATAAACAGCCATAAAGTCATGGGATGACCCAAGACTCAAGTGAAAAGTATAAGGGCCCCAATTCTGGAAACACTTGTCTGCTCACGTTTCCACAGTTAACTGCCTTTATCTTTGAGGCAAATCACTGAACAAAGAGAAAGTGTCAACAAGAAAACCGTATTGTGTTACAAAAGGAAGAGGGGGAAGAGTTGCTAAATTTCTACGCTGAACAGCTCTTATTCGTCCTTAGCCACAACATCATCAAAGTGAGGTGGGAGCTGTTAATATTGCTCCAACTCTCCCAAATTGAATAGTATTAGGTGTTCACTAGTACAGTACTCCTAAAAACCAAAATTAAAAAAACAAAAAACCCCACAAAATGACCAACCATACAACGCCTACCCCCAATATATTGCCATAATTTGCATGTGAGTCAGCTGAGATGTGAAATAGTAATGGATTGAATTTGGACAGCAACTATTTTAAGACACTGGACAGTAGCTGAGGCTCCTTACTCTCACAGGCACTGAACACATGCATCTCACTTGAAATTTAAGAAGCTCAGGATGCTTCTAGTTGTGGGGAAATACCAACTCCCATTGCTGGGCTTCAGAAAATGGAACTGGATTCTTTTTGTCCTCATAAAAGATTTTAGAACAGGAAATACTATTTTTAGTGGTTATTTTGGTGCTAACTATCAACTTCTGCCTTGGTGGGGGAAAAAAAAAAAAAAGAGGTGGGGGAAAAATGACACTGGAGATATTGGAAGCAGAAATTACTTATCTTAGTAAAAGAACTGGAGTAGAGAATCCTCTTAACAAGCAGTGTGAAATTAATTACTCTTTGAAAAAGCTATCCTGACAGGGTTAATGCAAGGGAGATTAATTACATAGAAAACTGTATTAAAATGGAGCTAACTCTAGCAACCATTTGTCAAAAGTACTAGAAGCAAATAAAAACTCAGAAAATGAGTTAAAGTTTTTCTCAGCTCCCACTAGGCAAAAAAGCAAGAAAAATCCCCCCCTCCCCCTTTTTTTAACACTTAAAAAACCCCTGATGAGCTCATGCACCTTGCCCCATGTAACAAATGTGGAGTGGAAAAAGGTGGCCACCAAGTTCTGAAGGCATCAGCCTTCTCATTCATAGGAATCTATGGATTAGAAATGGGAGAAGTGGTTTGCTAAAAGTAAAATGTATTCTAAAGATAACAGGAGAAAGCAGAGACATTTTTTTTTTTCTCAGGGTTAAAAGTTGTAAAGCTTTAAAAAGTCCTGTATGCAAATAACACGTTCACACACTTCCAAAGCTGAGATTACATCCCCATAAGGTAGGTCTGCTGAAACTTTTCAGTTGAAGGAAGTTGACCCATTATGAAGATTACTCTGATACAGGAAGAATCAGAGGCCTGAGAATCCCAAAATGACACGAATTTTCAAAGAAACTAAAGTTCCTGTCACTCTGCCCTGGGAACACAGATGAAAACAGGTTTTATAAGTCTCCTTAGCTGATGCCTGTTGGTGAAAGCATTTTGGAGGACTCTGTAGGAGTGAAGGAGAGGGAGGAGGTAGAAAGCTCTCTTAAATGCCTGGGCAATGCAAAAGGAGAGAAACCAAAAAATTTGGGTTCATGTGATAATTTTTATGGATTCTGCTAAGGTTAGATATCCCTGATTGATTGATTTTATTCCCATTGACTGCTTAGTTCCATCTAAGTCTTCGGTTTAGATATGAAAACTATTTTTTAGGTTAAGATGAGAAAGGTAGAAGAGAGCCTCTGTGAGTCATTTTAGGCTGAAAACGTACAGCTGCTGTTTGAATGTACACATCATAAAAAAGCACCTATCACCCCTGCCTATGTAAAAGCCCCTAAAGTGTTTCCTTTCCGCTATTAGCACTCGCTGCTCAGTGACAAGGAAAGCAATTAAGGTGTGCACAGAAGCTAAATGACTATTGACTTTTTTTTTTAAGACACAACAAAATTTTTATATAGCAAATGGATTGCTTTTACAAGGGTGCAAATCCAGGAGGAGAAGAAAAGTTTGAAAAAAATTAGGGTGTTGCTTTGAAAAATCTCCACGGTTTTCTCATTATTCCTTGTACAGGAAGGTGGCGTAAGATGTCCCTGCGAGCAGAACCGACGTAGGTGTTTGGTGCTGCTTAATTGTCAAATTCTGAGAAGTGATCCCCACTTCTTGTAAGCGTACCAGGAAGTTAATCTCCGTGAGCGACAGTGGAGGGCCTCCATCAGAAGGTGTTATATTTTTGTCCCACTCACTGTATCAGCATAGCTCATTTGCATAAAAGCATAAGCAAGAGGCGGAGAGGTTTGTTCACATGAGGGAAGGCTGTGTCTGTGCATGCACTGTGATTGCAGGCGTTCAGTAAACACACAAAAAAAAAATCAGCCAAGTTTTACTGACATTAGTCATTTAGAAAGATGTTTCCTTCTTTCATTATATACCATTTTCTGTACAACTCTCTGGACATTTTCTTTCTTTGTACGTGCTCTGTGCTTCGCCAGTGCCATTCAGTTTCTCTGCGGTGCTGTTTGTGGGTGCGTTAGGGCTATGGTAATCTTCACTCTCCCTCTTCTCTTTACTGTTGCCCAGGGTCTTCCCCCCCGCCCGCCAAATGGCTTGACTTCTCTGTTCTAAAAAAGGGAGATTTGGGTGCCGGAAGCAGGATGCAGGGTGTCCCTGTGGGTGCAGAGCTTCGCCAGGTGCGGCTGGGAGGGCAGGCGAGGCGGAGGGAGCCGGGCCCTCGCAGCGGGGTGAGCGCCGCCAAGCCGGGGCAGGTTGGTCAGAGCGTCGGCTGTGGCGTTTGAGCGCAGCAGGGAGCGGGCGGCGGGGCCGGTACCGCGCTCCTCACTCACCCCGCTGAGTCACAGTTTCCCCCATCAGCGTGGGGAGACGAGGGAGTCATTTCCCCACCAACTTCCCCACACCACGAGCAGTGTTTGCATTGGCCCGCCATGCGCCCCAGCCGCGCCACCTGCCTTCACGGCTGGAAGCCTTCTGGCGCCATCGGCTTTCCTGGGGCAGCCTAAGATCCATCGTGCTTCCTCAGGGCCTCCCCACCCCGGTGACCGCCTCGCTTCCAGACCCTTCTGCTGGCCAAGGCCTCATGGCAGGCAGGCTGGTCAGGGTGTCACGATCCTCCAGCTCTGAAAGCTGGGGCGGTGCATGTCTCCCCGGTGTTATCCTGTGACCGTCCCCTCCCTCGGCCCAGTCTGACACGTGGCAGAGGGGCAGCAAAGGAGCGATGGAGTTGCAGGGCTTCACCCTGCTTCAGGGAAAGCCAAACCAGACTGGACATACGTCCCTGACTACATTTTAGTAATTATTTTTTAATCGGACTTTCTGTCCCAGTTTTTAGTAAGATGGATCTCCCAGGCAAAAGGAAAACAAATCATGCTAATTTGGCACATCCATTTTACAGCTTCTGTTAAGGCTTTACTTTAACCTTTTAACATCATTACACTGGGATTCAGAGAAGAGCCCCCTCAAAGCTTTGGCAGCAAAGGAAGAGAGTCAGAGTGCTGAATGGGGGAAGTGACGGGCTGAGCATCCGTACCCACAGTTTCTCAAGTGCTAAACTGCTTTTTTAGCAGCTGAAGCTTCTCCTCCAGGTGTAAAGAAAGGCCTTCTTAATTTCAGTCTAGTAACTAATATTATATAAATTCTAAAACAGATGGCTGCTAAGGAAAGAAAATGCTTTTCACCTTCCTATCTCTGAATAGACTAGAAGATCAAAAGAAGTGGCTACTTGTAGAAGTCAGCAAACAGTGGTCGTATTGGTTACTTCAATTAATTAGCCACAGATAACACTTCCTTCACTTGAGAGTCTGGTTTGAAATCCAAACCCATTTTTCAGTAAGTTAATATTTAAGATTATTAAAGTGTTTTCTGCATCTAACTGAAGTTACGGTCAGCATCCAAGCAGTTTCACACAAAATCATGAAGATTGAAATTAATCAGCCGTTAAATATCACCCTCTGGCAGGAAGAAAAAGTGTAACAATAAAAATAACCAGTCCTCAAATTATTAGAGAATTCCTTAAATATGTATGTCCCTTGTTGTTAGCATTAACAGATACAGTCAAATTTGTATTAAGCTGCAATTCAAAAGTGTTCAAAGATAACCAACCATTCTGAATTAGCCTCTTTCAAATATCCAAAACAAAATTAAAAATAAGTAATTCTAGTCAAGGTGTTTTGCATGCTGATTGAAAATGTGAGTGAATCTGTGATTGGGAGGACTTTTAGTCCATGCAGTGTGCTATTGGTGTGAGGATTTGGCAGTTTCTTCGTATCGCACCTCATTCCCCACTAATCTCCTTTCTGAAAAAAAGGTACCCTGCCACCCCTATCCTTCACAACTTGGCCTATTCCTTCATTTTGCCAAGGACAATAGCATTGCTCCATTTCTTCCCAGGCATCATTTTCCCCCCTTCCTCAGTATCCCTCACAGTGTATATCTGAGTCTTTTGTAAAATACGAAATGGCATTTTTTTTTTAATTAAAGAGGAGCAAGAACAGTGAACGTAGAGCTCAGCTTAGATGTTAAGACTTCAAACTCTTCAAGACAAGGACTGTCTTAATTTTTTCTGTTACAGCTCCACACAGATAATTAGTAACACACAAGTAAAATAAATAGTGAAAATGTTCAAATCACTCCAAACTATCAGCAGAAATTGGGTTAAGTAAAGGCAGGCTATCCTCAGGCTGTCCTGCATAATAATATTTCTAGGAGGGAATCTAGTTCTCCAGCCAACAAGCATTACATAGCTCCATTATATAGACATCTCATAGTTAGGGTATGCAAAGTATATACAGAATTCCCCACAAACCATTGCCAAGAGGAAGGCAAACTATAGCAGATCTATCTTTCTCATTTTCCCGCCTTACTCCTAAAATAGAAAAAAAGAATGGTTGGGCCTCTGGTCCACAGTGGTTTCTTATTATCACGAAAAGAGGCAGGAGAGTGACAGCTAGTAAAGTTACTACTGACTAGTTACAGGAAAAAAAAAACAAAACACAAGCACTATGCAATTTAACTTGACAGTGCATTCAAAGAAATGGATCAGGGTGTAAATTCATTTGAAAGGAGAGTGATACTTCTTTCAGGAATATATAGGCATCATCTACTAAGGACAAAAATAATTGAATTGGAAAACAAAGTGAGAACAGGATCAGTTTAGAAATCAGGTCTTTTTGGCCGAGATTAAAACATTCAATTTTTTTTTCCTTCAAAGATGCATTAACACTGTTCAGTTTGCAAGCAACAGTAGGGTGGCAAGAAATTAAGAAAGATACTATTTGAATTAAGGACGTTCTGTATGGAAGATTATTATTACTGGCTAAGAAAGGGCAGATTTAGGCACAGTGATCTGAGGCAGAGAAAGCTCTTCAAGAAAATAATGGGAGTTCCGTTGCTTTGCACTATAATTAGGCATATGAAGTCATCCGTTACAACTCAGATGTATAGCCCTGTTCTCAAGCATTAATGTTCAAACGATCAGTACCTGCGGTGGTAGGGTTGATAGCATTAAATCTAATATGTGTCCTCATTGTCCATTAACTCTTCTGAAGCAATGAACAACTTTAATAAGGGGGTGAATATCAATATGTTTAGCAATAGAGTAACGGTACTGAGGTAACTCTGTGCTAGTAGTAAAACATACCTACAGTCCTTGACAGTTTTTTTTTATAACTTGCTGTTCTTCTCTCCTAGGTGGTTGTCTTAATTATTGAAACACAGTGCAAAAATGATACTAAAGCTCTAATACACATAGTGTACAATAAATTAATTACAAGGAGGATCATTGCTAAGAGGGAAATTAAGTGTGACGGGGATGAATACAATTTAGATAATCAGTGTTGCAAGAAATGTGAACATGGTGAGTATCATTATAAGATTCTGTTGAAAAATCTTTAAGAGTGGAAACCACAACATGCACAATTGCTTTCTGCTGGGATAGCTAAGTGGCATGCTGTGGTTTCCTGGATGCAGTGCTTCATTCTAGCTGTATCTTTCTCTATTACAGGACACCAGACATTTCAAAAGTATTTCTTGAGCTCAGTGCACCAGTAACTTTTCACTACAGATAGTAGTTCTCATATAACATGCTTGTCACAAAAGAGCCAAGAATTACATACACATCTTTGAAAGAGGTGAAAAAAGTGCAGCCACAGGCTTTTGCCTACAAGGCTCCATATATTCATGGGTTTTCCAAGTTTTGTTTGTGGTGTTCTCCTTCAGTCCTAAACTGGAGGAAGAGGGGGGATAATCAGATCTTATGTATACTACATTCCTGAAGAGCATATATGTATGCGTAAAGAACATAGATCCTGTCCATATTTGTAAATCAAAAAGTATTAGGGATTAAAAAGAAAGTCTGACATAGGTCTTAGAGCTGATGGCTTCTGTCCAAAGGTATTGCAAATCTTAATTCTTGTTTTTCTGTCTCTACAGGTCTTATTAAAAATACCAACTGCCCAACAGATAAAAGCAAACACTGTGTTCCATGTGAAAATGGAAAGGAGTACATAGATCACAAAAATGATTTGGACAAGTGTTTGAGATGCTCTTCATGTGACAGCGTATTCGGTATGTCTGTAGAAATAGCAACTCGAGCAATGACTCTTTTGATACAGGATTTGACTGAAAAGTCTCCACAATCCCTGAATAGTGGTTAGCGTGCAGATTAAAATGTTTTAGTGGTAGTACATGAAGGAATTTGTGACAAAATCATAAGTTCATCCCCCAGTTCCCTTTCGTCAGGCACAAAGTAGGAAGAAGAACAGGGTATGTGGGTCCATTATTTCTCCTTGTATCTGCCTTTGCTCAGCCAAAGCAGTCCTTGCAAAGCAGACCCTATGCAAACTGGTTAGAGTCAAGGAAGAAAAGCTCTCTCTCTTCTTTGCCCTCTATTTAAAAGAAGAGGGGTGTTGTAAGAAGTAGGGATGGGAGAATTCCCAATGGTTTCTTTCGTAGTCTTTCATGTAATTGATAATATTATTTGAAATTGCTAGAGCTGATAGAGTGATGTCTTTTATACATTCAAGATGCTGTGTGGGTTATAGGATCAAATTATGAGACTATGAGGCATGCCCTACTGGGTCAGACCAGCGGTCCACCTGTCCCAGTATTCTGCGTTCAGCAGTGGAGGAAAGAGATGCTATTTAGAGAAAACACAAACCTGTCTAATTTCTGTGATCTGTTCCCTGCAAAGTCTACCAGCATCCACAGTTGTGGGAAAGGACGTTAGAAGGTCCATCCCTACCTAGTCATTTTAGTATCCATTTATGAGCCCTTTGTGCGTGAATCTGCTTCGGGACACCAGGTTCCAGAAATTCACTACCTGTTGCGTAAATACCCATTACAGATTTTTTTTCTTTTTAAATCCATTAAATTGATCTCCTACCAGTTCCACCAGGTGTCCTGTAGTTCTGGTATACCTGGATTTAGGGAATGATAGTTCTGCATTCCTCTCGTCCAAAATCGAGTTTGGTGAGCGGAGAGACAGCTCGTAACTCCAATATGGTTGTACTCAGATCACCTGCTAGAATATCAATCTTTAGTGCTTTCCCCTTCCTGTAACACCTCCATATGCATAGAAAATTTTCCTCTCATTAGCTACTATAATAAGCATTTTTGAATGGGTAATGAAGTTGAGTACAGCAAAACAATTCAGCATTTTGTACAGTGCCACAAAGGAAACTATTAGTTAAACTGAAGGGGAAAGAAAGAGTAATGGGATGACTAGTCACATTATCCCATGGACAATAATGTAGTTGAAGAGAGGTCAGTAGAAAACATTAGGCAGGAGGAAAATTACCACTGAAGTTCCATGAGAACCATTCTTAGGATCATTCATGTTTGATATTTTCATGAATGGCTTCAGCACTGGTTTCACAGTAGAGCTTCATCAAATTTTGGAAGATAACGTGTTTTCCCGTTACAGCAGGGCACTGAATGTGATAACTCAAAAATTCGCTTCTATTCCTATATGCCCATGAAAATAGCTTTCATAGTAGGTAGATACTTAAAGTCATTTTTAATGCAGAAATAATTTTTCATAGATGGAGATAGCTTCATCATATACACTGATGATAGGAGACAATTAATTCACTTGTTCTGCTACTTAAGCAGGGAATATGTTAGCTAAAAGAGAGTGTGGAATTCCTCACCATTGGAGGACCTCAGGAAGAGATAAACTTGTCTGTCAGGAAGGGTAAAGAACTTGTCTCTGACATCAAGCAGGGAGATGGGTTACGTGATCTTCTGAGTTTCCTTCTGGCTTTCACTTCTGAATGGGAAAAAGAAGCTGACAACATTTGGCCATGCCAAATGAGTCCTCTTCCAGCAAGTACTTTATGGTGTGATCAGTTTTTTGAGCTCTTGGCCAGCAGAGGTCTCTTTGCCATCTCCATATTTCCAGTGCTCTGGCAGCAGGGCTTCTTAGAAAAGCTATGTTGTTTTTACGGTTAAGCCACCAGTGCCAGCAGTGGTAGAGCTAAAAGCACGTAAGTCTGAGGACAAGAGCTTGTGAGCAGAGGCCTGCTTTTAAGGCCTACTTTTTCAAACTAACGAAGTTTAAGAAATTTATTTTAGGTTTGGAGGTTGCAAAGAACTGTACCCGAACACAGAACACGGAATGCACCTGTGCAGAGAACCATTTTTGCAATTCTTCTGCACCATGTAGGCACTGTGATCCATGTACCATGTAAGTTTATGCCTTCATCGTTAAATATGAAATTGTTAATATCATATGTTATCACACTTTTTTCCAGCCAGTTTCAAGACAGAGGCTGAGGTAATGTATAACCCAAGGGAAAACATATTAGTTTTCCTTTGCACTTAGCTTCTTGAGCTGACTTAGCTCAGTCAACTTGCATCCACACAGGCTTTCCAAAGGCACGCATAAAAAACTTGTATACATCCACCAAGTCTGTATATACTTTTCAAAAAATGTAATGAAATATCTGAGCTTTCCTGTTGTCTTTGTGTGATCTACTGTTACATCTAGAAAATCATTTCCACACCTTTTTCCACTCCCATACCTTTCCATACCATTTTCATACCTATTACATTCCAAACTCCAACATCTTGATATATGAAATCTGTAGCTGATAAAAAGTGTTAGAAGATTTTGATTTGCTCTGTTGACAGAGTTTATAAAGAGAGAAACAAATCCCATAATAATTTTTGTTCATGTTTTCTGCAGATGTGAAAGTGGTGTAATTGAAAAACAATGTACTCCGACTTCAGACACTGTGTGCGGAATGAAAGGTACCATTTTAAAACCTAGCATGTCTAGCATCTGCTGTATCTTGAGAGGTTATTGCAATTGTACTGTTCTACACAATGGCCCATAGTCATTCCTGACAGCTAAGGGCATCATGTCCACTGGGCCCTGAACTGACCTGCGGAGCATGATTGCTCTTTTCCCTTGATCACTGTGCAGATGTAGGAGCTAGTACACCTTTTTAGGGGAAACTCATGATAGGTAAGACTTAAACAAAGAGGTAGCTTCTGCCATTAAGAGACAACAGAAAGGCTTTTATAATCTGATGCAATCTTGTATAAAATTTAGAGTGTATTGCTGTATAGCATTTCTTGACTTAACTTTCATGTAATGTTTCCAATGTTCCAGCAGAAACAGGAGTGCTACAGCTGGCCGCCTCTTTGACACCTGTGTTTTTAGTACTAGCAGCAGCTGGAGCAATATTCTGTTGTAAGTGATTCCCTGTTCCTTATTCCTATCATACTCTGAATAAGATATTCAGCTGCTTACTTAAGATGTAATTTTATATTCTTGGAGTCCAGGGGAGAGAGATACTCTGTCCTGGATTTTAAAAATGCTTTTTTGTTTCAGACAAGAGAAAACGGAAGGGTCATACTAACAAGGAGAACCTGAGTGAAGTAGTCCCCAAAACAGAGGCTTCTTATGTAAGTATTGTTGCTTAGATCACAAAAAACTCAGCTTCATGCAAGGAACTTTTTGTTCCATTCAAATTACACTGGGACTCCCCAGGCATGTGCATGCCTCTCTTCTGTGACATTAATGGAGTAAATTTCACCATGAGGACTCTTTTGGGGGAAGTAAGAGAAACCCTGTATTATTTCTTCAGGATTTGTTGACATGCTTCCTAAGTTACATGATGAAGATCAAAACTTCATAAATCATCAGGCCTCCACTGACCCAGGGTACCTGTCCCCATGCATACTTTTAGGCAGTAGCAATTGTGAGGTGATTCCCCAAGCTTACCCAAGTCAAAAGAGGTCTGTCTGTCCAATCTGATTCTCTTGCTCATGAAACAGGGGAATCATGGAGAAAACTAAAAGCAAATTACGGAAGTCAAGTGTCATGAAATGTGTTTATCCTCTTACACAAGGTTGGTGTTTTACAAAACTTGTTTCCACTCATTTCTCTCTTGCTTGTCTTTTCAGGAGAACGTACCTCTCATATACGCAGGTAAGAGACAAGTAACTTCTCAAAATTCAGTAAAAGAAAAAAAAAACAGACGTGTAAATCCTACACTAAAAAAAGGGTATTTTTATGTAGACTTTGCCACTGCCTAGAGCTGTCATTCTAGCACAACAGTGAACACTTATTACAGAAATGCCAGTTCATATTGTGCTTATTAAGGCATTTAGTGGTATCATGAAAGTTTTGCCTCAGGAGGAATTTCTGTCGTATAGGAAGCAATTACTAATTGACAACAGGTGAATTTCTGTTCTGCATGTGATACAGACACTAGGAGGCAGCAAGCTGGATTTCTCGAACCATGGATAATTATGATAATGGCATAGTCCCACACCCAGCAGTGGGATCGCAGAAACACAGACCTACCTTATGTTCAAGGGCAAATCCACAGTAGTAACACACAATAGGAAAAGAACATAAGCTCCAAGACTGTATCACAACAAAAGACCTGTCCTGTTCCAGGAACTTTCCCAACACTGTTTTGAGCAAAACAGGTACATGAGGGATGACCAGACTTTAATGATAGAGAAGGACAGAATAGGCTACAGAGGAAACTGAGATTCTATTTCAAGTGGTAGAAAGCGATATGGATGCAACCCTAAATATTTGAATTACCTAGCATTTGGTAGGACCATGTAAAAGCAGACCTGGTACATATTGTAAAAAATCATATATAAACATACTGAGTCATGAATACCTGAAACTTAACCTGTTTTGGATAGGAAAAGTATCAACTCTGAGCACAGGTGATAAAGTCAGTAAGATATAAGTCCCAAGAGCATTAATTTCCTTTTATGCTTCTAGATGTTGACCTGAGCAGCCACATTGCTGGTATTGTGGAAGAGCTGACACTCCAAGATGTCAAGACATTTGTTCGTTATCACAAAGTACCAGAACCTGTCATAGATCAAACTGTTCGGGATCATTTTAGCGATACATCTGAACAGAAGATTAAGCTGTTTCAAGTCTGGTATCAAAGACATGGGATAAAAGGAGCCTATGGAACCCTAATAAGCAGCCTGAGAGAGTTTAAAATGTGCGCTGCAGCTGATAAAATTGAGGAAAAAATGAAGGCAGCTGTTTCCAGCTGTCAGGAAGGGGGACAGTCTTATCATGATGACACTGAGCAAAACAAAATCTGCACTCGGGAAGGTAGAAACTCTTACAGTGATAGTGCTGAGCAAAGTAAAACCTCTTCTGGTAGTTTGGAAGAGACATAGCACAGAATCATTTGAAAATTATTTCTGACTGAATTAGTGTTTTTCTAATAATATAAATAACAAAGCTTTTAAATGCCACTGATTGATTCAAGGAAGCTATAATATGAACAAGGAGTAATTATGATTTTTGTAGCAATATCTTTCACTTAAAAAAAGTTTTAGCTTTTTTTTGGTTGTTAAGAACTGGGAGGAGAAGTTTTATGGCTTATTTACTAAAAGGTACAATATCGGAGTCCAGCTATAGGATTCACTACAAGAAGAAGTAGTCATTATTTGAAGAAAAGGTTTAGTCTAAATGTGTGGTCCTGCATTACTTAATTGATGTAATGTTTTGCTTACATTAAAATTGTGGGATGTTGCATTTTTCAAAGTGAAAACTGGTGTTAAGATCTATGAAGTGCACCAGGAAGAATACTTGAACAAAAAAAAATTATGTAATATACCCCTGATTGAACATAGGTGTTGCTGTGTAATTAAATTCTACTCTGTTGTAAATGGGATTTCTCCCTGGTATAAACAGACCTGTAAGTGTGTGGATACCGAGTTTTGTATACGTGTGTGTGTATTTTTATGTGTGTATATATGTGCAAGTTTTCTATGCAAAAGCTCCCAGTGCTAAGTAATAATAATTATTTCCCTTGTTCTCTGCAATAATTGCAAGCCTTTTCTAATGTTAAAACCCTTCAAAGAAGCAGGAGCTGAAGCAGCGCAGCAGAACCATGATTTTTGGAAGGCAACCTGCAGAAAGCTATGAAGTCTCCATAAGCAAGCGTGCAACACTAGCTTTTCTAATGCAGGAACTGATACAATGAAAACATCATTGTCACTAAAAAAAAAAAAAATCCCCATAGTGCATGACTTCTGTCTTTTCTTCTTATCGTGCAACCTATAGATGTCATTTTTAGGTTTTCTTTTACTCAGGTTAGTAAATCACAAAAAGGGAGATCACTCTCCTGAAAAAAACCACCTTACCTTTCTTCCATCACAGAGCGCAGAGGGCTCGGCTCCTAAATTCAAAGAACCAGTAGTGCTGGCTGCTCTGCAGCAAGGCCTTTCCTGCTCACACAACCATTTATGCAAAGTCTCACAAAATCTTTCAACAGAAAAGGAGACCTCAGTGGAAAGGTTTGATTTTTCCAGGTCGCGCAGTAAGCAGGATTACTTTCTTCTTTGGCTCTGCCATCAGTTCCCTAGGGAGAATCTCCAGCCAGTGTCAAGACAGCCAAAACATGAGGAGACCTGCCTGGGCTTGCTCCCACCTGCCAGCCAGGGTGTGTGGGGTAGGGTCCAACTGCAGCCATCTGGCCCCAGGGGCACGGAAAGGGCAGGGCAGGTCTGGCAGCAGGGTGCCAGGTGCTGGCAATTGGCACCCAGGCAACGCCGGGTGCCCACACCCCCGTGGGGTTGCTCCAAAAGGTCACGTTGCTAGAAGTGAGGTGCCTGGGAGGGCAGTGCATGGCCCTTGAAAACGGCTAGAAATCTGTGTATGGCATTGAGCAGGAGCCTGAAAGGAAAGGCAGGACTTAGATTAGCTTCAAAAACTTTAAGCCTTTCATAGACTTGACCCGTCGAAGGTATGAAGTACACGGAGCATGTTTTGTTGCCAAGCCCAAACCCAGTTTAGGTTGTACAGCTCTTCCCCAGGTCTGAAGCACCACATAGATGCTAAGCGCTCGGAAAAACCTTCCACCCCACTTTGGAGCCTCTTGCCTCTAACTTTTCTGCATTTTCTAAGTGTCTAATCAATCAGCTTGCCATTACCATACTGCCAAAATCCCTACACTGTGCTGCTTTTCAAAGGAAAACCTTTAGGCTGCTGTAGCTGGATGGTTTAATAGCCATGCGCCAGACTTGCGCACCTATGGACTGATTAAGGCATAGCGTTGTATAAATGACTTGTGTCTGTGCTATCTGTGTACAGATCTGACACGCTGTGACAGTGTGTTGCTCATTGCCATGTTTTGGCCAGGCTCCACATATATAGGAGAATAAAATGTCTGCCTTTCAGAAAAGCAGCACGGCAGTGGTGTAAGCTGTGCCATCTTTCCTAGATTGCAGTTATGTAGAAGCACAGCCAAGACAGGTAGGAAGGAAAGCTCCGTGCTCTCACAAGTCCTGGTAGATGGGCTGCTCCCTGTACCATGTCCCATCCAGGGAGGCATAAATGTAGCTTAAAGGTATGTTGGCAGGTGCTTGACTTCAACTGTGGCTTTTCTTGGCTTCTGGCCACCAGAAACTAAGGTTGTCCACCTTTCAGGGCTTCAGTGGGTCAGTTAGTATAACTGATCTGAACTAGGCAGATCTTAAAATGGAGGCACCAAACCTCACAAATTTGTGGCAGTGAAATAGAAGGAGAAATTTTTCTTTCATCACACCAGAATTCCCCAACCTCAGTATAACGAGGATGGATTAAAAAAAAGAAGTCCCTGAGCAATGAGTCATATTCTCCTTAGGAGACGACTGCAAGGCTGAACCCAGACTGCCATTAACTCTAGTGGTTAGCATACATCATAATTTTTTTTCTTAACTGGAACACTGTGCATCAAATAAGAGGATTGATTATATTGTGCAGCTGGTTTTCCAAAGGAGTGCATATGGGTCTACACTGCAGTCAGCAGTGCAGCGTAGAGCTATCTGATCAAGCTTAAAGGACCCGGACCAGGGATTTAATGAAAGTGATTTAGTTCTGCCGACCCACAGTAACACACCCAGCTTTCCATTGCCTCCTGCTTCTGGCCTCATTTTCAAACTAGGGCTGCACAAGAAAATCATACCAAGCAGGTTATATTAGCACTGTTTCACCTTTCACTCTCACCTTTCATGCTCAGAAGGAAAGTCCCCGCAGAGTCTCGTGCTGATAAGCAAGATGACTGCCACCACCTTGGCTGCTCGCTGAAATACAGTTCTGGTATCTTTACTCTATGCTCTGGGCCTTGCACACTTGTCATGATCAGCCTCTTTCTCCCAAATGGCAAGGCTGTGTCATGAGCAGTGCAAAATAACTCTTTTCTCAGCTTTAGGTAGGGGCAAAAAATAAAAAAAAAAAAAAGAAAGCGACAGAATTGACTTTGAAAACCGAAATTCTCCTGTTTTATGGAAACCCAGCATCAGAAAAGCAAATGGAAACTGAAACAGAAACTTGCCCAGGGAATGACTTGGCACATTTTGAAAAGCAGATTACAAAGGGGAAGCTCCCTCTTCAGGAAGCCAAAACTTTGCAAAAGACTTGCATTGTTATTTAAATAGTAAAACCAGAACAACTGTTATTTAAAAATAACAACAATAGAAGAACAGGAACATAGAAATAAAAGGCCAGACGGATGATCTTACTTCAGTCCCCTGCAAATCGGAAGTGACCATGCGAGCAAGGGGTCTGTTCAGAAATTCCATGGGCTGTTTTGCTGCGCACACCCATCCCATCTGCTCACCCACGCTGCAAACTGTCTAGTTCCTGCTGCCCTACAAGCAAACCAAACACCTGCAAGAAGACAGAAACACGATCACTATAACAGTGTGGCACCAGAAGAAAGCAGGAGAGATTAAAGACAGCTCCGGTATACAGGATTGCTGCAATAGGAAATAAATTATTTTTAAAGTTATCCTGCAGGCTGCCAGGTCTTGAAAAGACGTGGCTGAGAAATGAAGTGCTGAGTACAAAGAGTCTGAAATGTTTCTGCACAGATAGCATGAGAAGCATATTAAAGTGTGAGAGATCCGTAGGCTTATTTCCTGTATGGAAGAGAGGAAAGGAAAACAATACAAACAAATTCATAAGAAGAATAAAACTGTATTGGGCAAAACCTTGGAGTTAGACAGTTTTCTTGTTTTGAGGGAAGATACAACCTCAAAACTCACATTCCTTTCTTACTGTTTGTCAATGATTTTGGACTTGAAAGGGAAGCTTGCATTCCTGCTATCCCACTGCTAGCAAGAGGAAAAATGCCCACCATGTGTATCTAACCTCTAGTACGGAGCTGTGGTTGAGAATTACGAGGGATGTGGGAACAATCACAAAACTTAACGTACAGTCAGTGTTTTCTGGATAGCTTTTCAGTGGTTTTAGTTCAAGTTCCTTTCCAAACTGAAAGCAAGACTTTTAAGGCAGACAGAGTGCTAGAGGGCCCTCTCCCATAGCTTTACACAGAGGTCTCTCGCTCCCCCAATAAACCAGCAACTGTGACACAGTGCTGTTTTCATAGCAGGCAACCTAGCGGGGAATCGGCAAAAAATGTCTGTGATTACAGGGATGCTGAAAAGAGGGCCCTGAACAAACGCAGGGGAGGAGTTAGTGATGGAAAGCAGTGGCAGGAGGGAGCCAAAGGTGCAGTCCTTGGAAGGACAGCACTCAGCCTCCCGCGCCCCGGGGGCACGCAGCACACGGAGGTCACTGATCCTGCCTCCCATACATCTTCCCGCAGCGGTGTCCACAGGAGAGGATAAATATACCTGTATGTGTGTCGTTGGGATACGAACAAGAAATGATGAGGCAGAAGTACCCAGTTTCATTTCCTGCATATTTATCTTACAGTCACTAATGGGATTGATACATTTTCCTCATTATCAATATCTGAAGATTTAGGTTATCTTTCTTGGCCTTTTTCTGGTCCTTCCTTCATACTATATGAAGATCCCCCTCCAGACATATCTCTGGGATGGCTGAAGCTGCAGGGAACATTTTACGACACTCCTCAAATTGCCAGAGGCCCGACTCGGAGCAAGCCAGCCTCCCTCCCTACGGGGGCTGGTTGTGCCCCGGCACCTCCGCTTTTCTGGCTGGGGACCGCAGTTGTCACGGTCATGATCTGGGCTGATCTCAAAGGGTCTTGAGGTTCAAGATCTGTCTCTAAGACATGAGGACAACGCTTATACCTGTACTTTGGGGGACAGGGGGGCAACTAAGTTTATACCAGACAGTGCCCCCTCATTTATCCAAGAATGGATAGCGGTCACTAAATCGTTCAGTATTTTTGATCCTCTCAACCAAATCTCTTCAGATTTAAATTTCTTTAAACTTGTTTAAACAACCACCCTGGGGGGTGGTGGTGGTTGGTTTTGGGGGAGAAGGGAGGTAAGAGCCAGAGCCTGCCTCACTGTTCACAGAAAGCACGCACCAAGCGCTGCAGGCTGTCTTTCCCTGCCCCTGCTCAGCAGGTGGCAGCCCGCATCCGCGCAGTCCCATGCGTGTCCCCTCCTCCCGGTCCCCGTGCACAGCCCCGGGCTGGCTTGGCAAGGATGGACAGCCTGCAAGAGCTCCCTCCCCGCCGCCCCCTCCCCCTGCTCCTTCCCAGGCTCTCCGGCTGGCTCGCTCTCTGGGGGATGAATTGTTCTCAGGAGGAAAGGACATTTTATAAATGAGCTCATGCATGCAGCAAGCAGCAGACTGGCTATGACAAGGGCATGAAGCCTTGCCCTGGTAGAGCTGAGCCTGCCATCAGGCTGAGCCAGTTCCCACTCCAATTTTACATGCGATCCCTCAAGTCGTGTTCCACAAGACTTAAAATGACACCTACAATGTCATAAAATCGTGTGTGACAGCTTTTGTAACGCTCCTCAGATTTGAGGA